TAATATCTTTTAAATTATTATGCCCTCTCTGTTATTTTTCTATGTTCTGCAAGTGCAGAATTCTCAATTTTATCCCATTTCAGAGCATATTCATGGTTTTTCATTCTTTCTTTTAAAATTCTGGATGTTTGTCCTACATAGCATTGGTCACATTTCACTTAGTAAATTAAACCTGCTCTTTTTTTGGTAATTGGGTGTTGTATGGTTGTTGAGAAATAAGGTTACATCGTCCCATGAAAATTTTATCATATTTTTTTAACCCCTCGCGCGAGGTGTATCAAGCTATCACTTTACTTTTGGAAAATCATTAAATCCTTAAACAAAAATTTTTAATAGCTTAATATTTCAACGTGGTGAATAGACGTCAAATTTTATCAAAATTAATAAAGGGAAAATATTTTATTGTCAGAATATCAGACCCAGTACTAACGTAACAAAGTTTTGCAATCAGCCCCACGCTGCCACGAAACATTACACCATGAATCATTTTGTTTTAGTTTCACTTCGCCATCATCTAATCTTATATTATAATGGTAGCAAAAATATTCAAAAATATATTAGGAAAGAACACTCCAACTCCATTATATGTTTTTTTAAATTTATTTATTAGTAATGACATAATTTAAAAAAATGGTTGAATACACAAATATTCTTATTGAGACCATCAGGCCAAATTAAAATTCTGGAAGTTTGTCCTACATAGCATTGGTCACATTTCACTTAGTAAATTAAACCTGCTCTTTTTTTGGTAATTGGGTGTTGTATGGTTGTTGAGAAATAAGGTTACATCGTCCCATGAAAATTTTATCATATTTTTTTAACCCCTCGCGCGAGGTGTATCAAGCTATCACTTTACTTTTGGAAAATCATTAAATCCTTAAACAAAAATTTTTAATAGCTTAATATTTCAACGTGGTGAATAGACGTCAAATTTTATCAAAATTAATAAAGGGAAAATATTTTATTGTCAGAATATCAGACCCAGTACTAACGTAACAAAGTTTTGCAATCAGCCCCACGCTGCCACGAAACATTACACCATGAATCATTTTGTTTTAGTTTCACTTCGCCATCATCTAATCTTATATTATAATGGTAGCAAAAATATTCAAAAATATATTAGGAAAGAACACTCCAACTCCATTAGATGTTTTTTTATTTATTTATTAGTAATGACATAATTTAAAAAAATGGTTGAATACACAAATATTCTTATTGAGACCATCAGGCCAAATTATTGCAGGGAAAGGATTGCTGCGATACAAATGAAATCCTTTGTCCGCTAGGACTCATAATAATAATTGGAAAGAATCATGCATCACATTTGCATTTCAAAGAAATATGGATGCACAAGTTCATTATAAATCAAATCACCCTCAAGAAGAGCCCCTAAAAAGACGCCTCTTTTTGGGAAAGATCGGACCGAGTTTGATGGATGATCATATCAGCTTTGTATTGTGTCACTACCTAAAGCGAGCTCTTTGAAGGATATTTGGAGTGGCAAGTGAACAAAGTTATATGAAATGTTATTTACAAATATAAATTTCATGTTTTTTTGGAACCAGGACCGACAGAACCACCTTCAAAAAAGCAAAAGCGATGCCATCTTTGTGACCGATATAAGGATAGGAAAACAAAGACTACCTGCAATAATTGCAAAAGAAATATCTGCAATATAAACACAAGGTAATAAGACCAAATCCAAATAAATAAATAATATGTGACGTTTCGGTAACAGCGTTGTTACCATCTTGTCTGAAGATGGTAACAATGCTGTTACCGAAACGTCACACACTATTTATTTATTTGGATTTGGTCTTATTACCTTGTGTTTATAATCTATAATCCAAATTGTACCTTATCAAATATCTGCAATAATCATTCCATGTGTGCTGAATGCTTTGAAAATTAATGGGGAAAAAAATATATCTTTTGTGATTAATGTATAGGAATTAAAATTGTAAAAGCTTATAGGGTTTATATACAACACTTTTTATTTTGATGGAATAATTATATATTTTATTATCATTTTTTTTTTTTTAATCAATGTACATTCATTTCTCTATAATATAAATATAGAAACGTTGTTTTTAGCCTACATTATATGTTAGATTTAGGTTTATATTTTGGTGTGCGAAACACCAAGTGAGGGTACTTAAGGGTTAATATATTAATGAAGCAACAGCGTTAGTACAGAAATATCAAACACAATTAATTTATTTGAATTAGGTATTATTTTCTTGTAGCTTTTATCACATACTTTATAATACCCTAGATTTTCTAATAGACCAAAAAGGAATAATTGTTATTTACCTTCTAAAAGTTTGTTAAAAATTAAAAAGTCAATGTTTTTCAAAAACCTTTTGAACACTACATTATACAATGTCCACATTTATCCAAATTGAATTTTTCATGAATATATAATCCTTGCATTGCTCAGGTTGTTTTTTTTTTACATTTAGTGTTGTTTCATATTAACATTTCACATTCAGTTATGTTTCCTTTTTTTTTTTTTTTTTTTTAAGTGTTGCATCGTTTTATAAACTTCAAATAAATAGGGAAGCTTTGAATTATTTTATCAAAATATCGAACTTTTTTTTTAAGTAGTGGCCCTGGTATTGGAAATATTTTGAATCGGCGATCGGCCATTTGCACATTAACATATTGTCACGGATTTCCGTGTAAATAAGTATTAAATAAGTATTAGGAATCACGCGAACAGTAGTTTTCTATTGAAAGTTTATTCTGCCTGCATGCCAAAACAAGCTTCTTTTATAAAGACAATTTTTGCTACTATTTACATAATTGTTATTATAAGATAATTTACATGATGAATTGAAAATATATATGCAAATATTATACAGTGACAATATTAACCATTTTATTTTCAGATATAAAGGTCTTTTTTTTTTTCTTTATATAATATAACCGATTTCACCCATTTTCAAATCTTGAATGTTACATTTAGTTCATCTTATCTATCTTATCTTCTATCTTCTCTTCTTCTATATTAATAAAATGCAAATTTCATAAGTGGTGTTCGCTAAAAACTTTCGTTACAATGCATCAATTTCGACCAAATTTTCAACATTTATGTAAAACGAGATGGAGCAGGTTTTGCTTAACATCAAAATATTTTTCCTAACATTAACATGCGTAACTTCGCTGTTATCGATTAAATACAAAAAAAATCAACAGAGTTAATTTTATTTATATAAAATACAAAATTATATTTCAACAGAGTTAATTCTTTTACATACTAGCTAATAATCTCAATCTAAAAAAATATTCAAAACAAGCAATTTTAAGATAACAGCATATGTAAAACAGTCGGCCAAGAAAACAACACTATAATATAAAAAGCCAACAATTAAGAATAAATGGAAGATAATAAGCCAACAATGAAGAGCAAATATAATAATATCTATATATATATAATTGAATGTCTGTCTGTTTGTTTGTTTGTACTCTATAGATTCAAAAACCATACATCCAATCGCCGTGAAATTTTGGGATATTATTAGGTATATCACAGGGAAGGTTTTTGAAAAATAATTTAATGAATATCTTGAATATCCTTAGAGTTACTTGCAGATTTGTAGATTTAACTCGCAAGCAGCGCCCCCATTGTGACGATGATAACAAGTTTTCTTATCACTAAGTTTGTTATCTTAAACATTATTTATCAAAAGTAAGATTATCTCAGGATGACACGGCAATGTGACACGGGGAAAAAATGTTCACTATATAAAACTATGATTTTCTATATGATATAAAAAGCCAACAATGAAGGGTGAATGTAATATAAAAAGCCAACAATGAAGAATGAATGTAAGATAAAAAGCCAACAATGAAGAATGAATGTAAGATAAAAAGCCAACAATGAATAGTGAATGTAAGATAAAAAGCCAACAATGAATAGTAAATGTAATATAAAAAGCCAACAATGAAGAATGAATGTAAGATAAAAAGCCAACAATGAAGAGTAAATATAATATAAAAAGCCAACAATGAACAATGAATGTAAGATAAAAAGCCAACATGAAGAGTAAATGTAAGATAAAAAGCCAACAATGAAGAGTGAATGTAATATAAAAAGCCAACAATGAAGAATGAATGTAAGATAAAAAGCCAACAATGAAGAATGAATGTAAGATAAAAAGCTAACAATGAAGAGTGAATGTAATATAAAAAGCCAACAATGAAGAATGAATGTAAGATAAAAAGCCAACTATGAAGAGTAAATGTAATATAAAAAGCCAACAATGAAGAATGAATGTAAGATAAAAAGCCAACAAAGAAGAGTAAATATAATATAAAAAGCCAACAATGAAGAGTGAATGTAAGATAAAAAGCCAACAATGAAGAGTAAATGTAAGATAAAACGCCAACAATGAAGAGTGAATGTAATATAAAAAGCCAACAATGAAGAATGAATGTAAGATAAAAAGCCAACAATGAAGAATGAATGTAAGATAAAAAGCCAACAATGAAGAGTGAATGTAATACAAAAAGCCAACAATGAAGAATGAATGTAAGATAAAGAGCCAACAATGAAGAGTAAATATAATATAAAAAGCCAACAATGAAGAGTGAATGTAAGATAAAAAGCCAACAATGAAGAGTAAATGTAATATAAAAAGCCAACAGAGTGAATGTAAGATAAAAAGCCAACAATGAAGAGTGAATGTAATATAAAAAGCCAACAATGAAGAATGAATGTAAGTTAAAAAGCCAACAATGAAGAGTAAATCTATATATATATATATATATATATAAGTCAATTTCTGTCTGTCTGTCTGTTTCGCGATAAACTCAAAAACTACTGAACCAATTGGTACATTATTTTGCATGTCGCTTTTTATAAACCTGAGGAAAATTTTCGGCTGCATTTTGATTAGTATTTTTGGCTATTTCTTTTTTTTTTCATTTGAAGAACTTTTTTTTTACGCGGACTAATCCGGAATGGAATGAATACCTAAATATGGCCATTTTTTAAAACATCGGTGGTTCAGTGGTAGAATGCTCGCCTGCCACTTGGGCGGCCCGTCGATTCCCGGCCGATGCATTTTTTTTTTTTACAATTTTTAAAACTCTTTTATATTATCTTACTAGCGGATGTGCCCGGCTTCGCCCGGGTTTTACCCGAGTGAATGTTTGTCTAACGAACATTTGTTAAAACAATTCTCTTTAAACTTATAAAACGTACTCGGCTTCGCCCGGGGTTTTACCCGAGTAACGGTTTGTCTAGCGAACATTTGTTAAAACAATTCTCTAAAAACTTATTGAAAAATATAAAAAAGATATATTTTGATAATTTGAAACTCGTAAATTTGAATCTCTCGATAAAGTGAACATTTTTTCCCGGTCCCTGTGTGCCTTGTCATCCTGAATTTTCTCTTTCCTAATTTTCTACATTAGAAAATCATAGTTTTATCTAGTGAACATTTTTTCCCGGTCCCTTGAGAAATACTCGATAAGTTGAATAAAATCAATATTAATTGGTTCCCTCGGTAATTGGAAGTTAAAGGAATAGTATATTCGCCTTGGAATTGTATCATTATTCTTGTCGCAAATAAATTGCCGTGTCATCCTGAGATAATCTTACTTTTGATAAATAATATTTAAGATAACAAATTTAGTGATAAGAAACTTGTTATCATCGTCACAATGGGGGCGCTGCTTGCGAGTTAAATCTACAAATCTGCAAATAACTCTAAGGATATTCAAGATATTCATGAAATTATTTTTCAAAAACCTTCCCGGTGATATACCTAATAATATCCCAAAATTTCACGGCGATTGGATGTATGGTTTTTGAATCTATAGAGTACAGACAGACAGACATTCAATTTTATATATATAAGATAAAATATAAATGAGTTTTAAAAATTGTAAAAAAAAAAAATGCATCGGGAATCGAACCCGGGCCGCCCGCGTGGCATGCGAGCATTCTACCACTGAACCACCGATCCTTAAAAAAATGGCCATATTTAGGTATTCATTCCATTCCGGATTAGTCCGCGTAAAAAAAGTTCTTCAAATGAAAAAAAAAAAAAGAAATAGCCAAAAATACTAATCAAAATGCAGCCGAAAATTTTCCTCAGGTTTATAAAAAGCGACATGCAAAATTTGGTACCAATTGGTTCAGTAGTTTTTGAGTTTATCGCGAAACAGAAAGACAGACAGAAATTGACTTTTATATATATATAGAGATTTACTCTTCATTGTTGGCTTTTTAACTTACATTCATTCTTCATTGTTGGCTTTTTATATTACATTCCCTCTTCATTGTTGGCTTTTTATCTTACATTCACTCTTCATTGTGGGCTTTTTATCTTACATTCATTCTTCATTGTTGGCTTTTTATATTATATTTACTCTTCACTGTTGGCTTTTTATCTTACATTCATTCTTCATTGTTGGCTTTTTATATTACATTTACTCTTCATTGTTGGCTTTTTATCTTACATTCACTCTTCATTGTTGGCTTTTTATCTTACATTCATTCTTCATTGTTGGCTTTTAATATTACATTCACTCTTCATTGTTGGCTTTTTATCTTACATTCATTCTTCATTGTTGGCTTTTTATCTTACATTCATTCTTCATTGTTGGCTTTTTATCTTACATTCATTCTTCATTGTTGCTTTTAATATTACATTCCCTCTTCATTGTTGGCTTTTTATATTACATTCACTCTTCATTGTTGGCTTTTTATCTTACATTCATTCTTCATTGTTGGCTTTTTATATTACATTCACTCTTCATTGTTGGCTTTTTATCTTACATTCACTCTGTTGGCTTTTTATATTACATTTACTCTTCATTGTTGGCTTTTTATCTTACATTCACTCTTCATTGTTGGCTTTTTATATTATATTTACTCTTCTTTGTTGGCTTTTATCTTACATTCATTCTTCATTGTTGGCTTTTTATATTACATTACTCTTCATTGTTGGCTTTTTATCTTACATTCACTCTTCATTGTTGGCTTTTTATCTTACATTCATTCTTCATTGTTGGCTTTTTATATTACATTCACTCTTCATTGTTGGCTTTTTATCTTACATTCATTCTTCATTGTTGGCTTTTTATATTACATTCACTCTTCATTGTTGGCTTTTTATCTTACATTCACTCTTCATTGTTGGCTTTTTATATTATATTTACTCTTCATTGTTGGTTTTTATCTTACATTCATTCTTCATTGTTGGCTTTTTATATTATATTTACTCCTGTGTCACATTGCCGTGTCATCCTGAGATAATCTTACTTTTGATAAATAATATTTAAGATAACAAACTTAGTGATAAGAAAACTTGTTATCATCGTCACAATGGGGGCGCTGCTTGCGAGTTAAATCTACAAATCTGCAAATAACTCTAAGGATATTCATGATATTCATGAAATTATTTTTCAAAAACCTTCCCGGTGATATACCTAATAATATCCCAAAATTTCACGGCGATTGTATGTATGGTTTTTGAATCTATAGAGTACAAACAAACAAACAAACAAACAGACAGACAGACATTCAATTTTATATATATAGATATATATAAAATTGAATGTCTGTCTGTCTGTACTCTATAGATTCAAAAACCATACATCCAATCGCCGTGAAATTTTGGGATATTATTAGGTATATCACCGGGAAGGTTTTTGAAAAATAATTTCATGAATATCTTGAATATCCTTAGAGTTATTTGCAGATTTGTAGATTTAACTCGCAAGCAGCGCCCCCATTGTGACGATGATAACAAGTTTTCTTATCACTAAGTTTGTTATCTTAAATATTATTTATCAAAAGTAAGATTATCTCAGGATGACACGGCAATTTATTTGCGACAAGAATAATGATACAATTCCAAGGCGAAGATACTATTCCTTTAACTTCCAATTACCGAGGGAACCAATTAATATTGATTTTATTAAACTTATCGAGTATTTTCCAAGGGACCGGGAAAAAATGTTCTCGAGAGATTCGTTAAACAAACCTTTACTCGGGTAAAACCCGGGCGAAGCCGGGTACATCCATACAAGAATAATGATACAATTCCAAGGCAAGATACTATTCCTTTAACTTCCAATTACCGAGGGAACCAATTAATATTGATTTTATTCAACTTATCGAGTATTTTTCAAGGGACCGGGAAAAATTTTTCACTTTATCGAGAGATTCGTTAAACAAACCTTTACTCGGGTAAAACCCGGGTGAAGCCGGGTACATCCATACAAGAATAATGATACAATTCCAAGGCAAGATACTATTCCTTTAACTTCCAATTACCGAGGGAACCAATTAATATTGATTTTATTCAACTTATCGAGTATTTTTCAAGGGACCGGGAAAAAAATGTTGACTTTATCGAGAGATTCGTTAGACAAACTTTTACTCGGGTAAAACCCGGGCGAAGCCGGGTACGTCAGCTAGTATAATATAAAAAGCCAACAATGAAGAATGAATGTAAGATAAAAAGCCAACAATGAAGACTAAATATGATATAAAAAGCCAACAATGAAGAGTGAATGTAATATAAAAAGCCAACAATGAAGAATGAATGTAAGATAAAAATCCAACAATGAAGAGTGAATGTAAGATAAATGGCCAACAATGAAGAATGAATGTAAGATAAAAAGCCAACAATGAAGAGTGAATGTAAGATAAAAAGCCAACAATGAATAGTAAATGTAATATAAAAAGCCAACAATGAAGAATGAATGTAAGATAAAAAGCCAACAATGAAGAGTAAATATAATATAAAAAGCCAACAATGAAGAATGAATGTAAGATAAAAAGCCAACAATGAAGAGTAAATATAATATAATAAGCCAACAATGAAGAGTGAATGTGAGATAAAAAGCCAACAATGAAGAGTAAATGTAATATAAAAAGCCAACATAGTGAATGTAAGATAAAAAGCCAACAATGAAGAGTGAATGTAATATAAAAAGCCAACAATGAAGAATGAATGTAAGATAAAAAGCAGCGGCATACAGGAAGCGAAAGATGGGCTTAGTATATTGCCCACTAAATGGTAGGATAAAATTTCCTTTTAATGCTACTATAAGATAACCGGTTCTAGGTACCTTGACCTGTTTGTTTGTTTCCCCTTTGCCTGAGTGTCAGTGATTGCTCATACTGGTATCGTAAAAAAATGTATTTTCTTCCAAAAGTCATATTTATCATGGGTCATGAACAGATCTGATTTGGAATAAAACACATTTTTCACTCTGGCAGGGGAGGAATTGTTGGGCCATATTTTCACAAAACAGACCCAACGATGATGTAAACATTTTACATCATATATGTACAGTGTCTCGCCAAAGTGTTTGTTGTCCAGATGGAGAATTCCCCACCGAGGAAAGGCCGAGAAGATGGCCGACGATGCTCCAAAGACCAAAGCCGGGGAAGACGCCCAGTTGGGGATGACACTGACCCTTTCCAAACGGACCAACCCTCCACAGAAGGACAACGACGAGGAGAATTAAGAGATGGAGAACTTGGATTAGCCCTGAGGCTTGTACCCCGAAGCCCGCTGCAAAAAGGCCCAGTGACATATGTGTATAACCAACCCCCTTTTATATGCAAGATGAAAGGTCCAAAATTCTATTACCATTTCGAAAATTTTAAAATTATTTTATTCGAAAGAATAAAATTAATTATATACATATTTAGATAAATTAGGTATATATATATTTTTAGATAACAATATAAGAAAATTTTTAAGGCATACTAAATTAAAATCTCAAGAAATCGATCTGTTACATTTTATCAATTTTTATTATTAATTTAAAATTTATTTTACTAAAGAGAATAATATTTTTATTTTTATTTTCTAATATATTCTGCGAAATTAAATTATTTTTCTTTTTACTCTGTAAAAAGAAGATGATAAATTTTTGGAGGGACGCCACTTTTCAAATTTTTGATCAGTTGAGAAGAAACAATCGAGCTGTCGAGGTGGGCCGGGGTCGGTGCGCAAAGAAACACAATGGTAAGTTTAAAATGATTTAAAATTTTATTGTGTGGGCCTAAAAAGGCTCGTTTATAGGTTAGAAGGC